TGGTGGGGGGCGGGGGCGGGGCATAGAGGGGGGAGGCAGGGATCAGAGCAGTGAAAGTGGCCTCTGAAATCAGTGGGCAGCTATGCAGGAGGAAAAGAGCCTGTGAGAACTCTGGGGGAGGGGAAGGCCAGTGGCTTTCTTCAGGACTAGACCTGGTGCAAGGATAACTCTGGCAGAGAAAGGAAGACTGTGATGAATCCATACTTGGCCAACATCATTACAACCATTTTTAAAATTATATCATCAGTCCCTGTGGCCCATCTCTAAGCCTCCACTAGAATCAGGCACAAAACTTTGCCTGAAGCCAGTCACCTCTGAAAGTGTGTGTGTGTGTGTGTTGGGGGGAGAGAGGGAGGGAGGACCCAAGCAGATGCAGGAAACCCCACTGAGAAAAATCACAAATGCCTTTTGTTGAAAATGGCAGAGGCCAGGCATGCCCAAAGAACCCGCTGGCCATTTATTTTCTAGAGACAAGGTTATTTCTGCTGCCTAAAAATCGAAGTTCTGAATCTTTCTCTGTCTTCTTTCCTTCGGTCCACCACAGCAGTTGCAAGAACTAAATCCCCCCCTCTTCACACCTGTAATCCACTCAACAACTGACCATGCACCCCACACACAATCCCTGGTTTAAGTCTCACACTACCGTAGATCTGCAGTCACCATCTCTGTTTTTGCCTAGCACCACTGAGCCACGGAAAGTTCAGGCTTTGCCCAAGTGCACTCAGCTAGGAAAAGGCAGGGCTTGTGACACCTGCCCCCACCCCACACTGACCTCAATGACCACTCGATGTGGAACCCTCAGCCAGGCTCCCCTAATGCATCCTCCTTCCCCATCCCCCAAATGCAGCAAGCTCAGGCCCTGACACCTAACTGCTCCCTCTCCTGATAGAGACCCTGAGTGGCCAGGCCACCAACCCTGACTTAAGCATGACCCCCACCCCCAACAAAACAAAGGAAACCTCACAAGGCCAGCCAGCACCCCTAAGCTGCAAACCACCGCCTTTTGTTTCCTTTGAAAAGCCTAAGCAGTTCAACAGCGTCCTCCAAAATGTAGGGGGGAAATGCTGAGTGGATACCAGACATTTCTCTTAACTATGGTTCACATTATTAGCATTTGTTACATTAATGTTATAGCCAGCATTTATTGTGTGCTTACATGTTCAGGAGGTGTGCTGAGTGTTTTACATACAACTGTATGGAGACACACCTATTATTTTACAGCTGGAGATGAGGAGGGGCAGAGACCCTTGCCTGAGGGTTGCCCAGATGGAAGTAGCTGAGCTGGTTCCTGGCCCTGACACTTCACCACCTTAGTCTTCAGAAAACCCAGTTATGGGCCCACAGCCAGGCCAAGGGGCAGCTTCACACCTAACCTGTCCCCCAGCGATCACAATCAAGTGTGAGTATGTGGAGGAGTGGGGAGTGGGGGGGAAGGGGGTTCCTGAACCTGAACTTTCCAGCATCTCTGTCTAGGACCATCTCCCTTCACCTGGGAACCACTCTCTTGCTCTCCACCGCGGCCCCACCCAGACGCTGCCCCAGCCAATCTCTCCGTCAAGCCCATCTGCATCTTCCTCCTCTCACCCTCTCCTCCCGGTCCTCTCCCACAGACACCAGCACATTTTAAAGATGTTTCCACTTTATAAATCATCCCTCTCTGGCAGCCACCGAGAGCTGCTCCTCAAACAACACACACACAGGGCCCAGGGTGCCTCCCCCTTGGCCAAGGAGGGGGCTGGCACTGGAAAGCCGCACCGTGGGATGAGAGACTTGGGGTTCATGCTGCCCCCATAACGTGATGGAAATAGGAAGACACAGTCCCTTTCCCTTCCCCCTTGGGGGCATCTCCAGGTGCCCCATCCATGCAATCCTGCAAAACCCTGCAGATCCCCAAAAGGAGGACAAAGCAGCTGCCCAGGGGCCAACACTGCTGGAGCCAGACCCAGTCCCAGACCAGCGACCTTATTTACAGTCATTTACATAGTGCTGCCCCCTCCTCCCGTGCTCCCTGGCGGGCGGGGTGGGAAGTACTCTCCGGACTTGGGGCTAAGGTAGCCGCCCGCCCCGCCGGCCTGGGGAGGAGATGAAAGCCGGGCTCCTCCTCTGATCAAGAAACAGGCTCTGAAAGGGTGCGGGGCTGAGCCTTTATCTGCTTCATACTCGGAAATGGCTTTAGAATGAGCTGCTAAGATAAGCTTCCTTGGACGGGCGCGGAGAAACGGTCTGAGGGCATTTTGATTTTGGCAACAAATCCTTAAGTGCAAACTCACTGCTGAGCGGGAACACCCGAGTCACAGCTGGGCTCAGAGCGCCGCCAACGCAAAGCACTGGCCCACTCGCCCCGCCAAGCCCGCGAGGGGGACAGGGAATAGCGACCTAAGGGACCCACCAATTCTCCCCGCCCAGCGGGTCTCCAAGCCTCCACCCGCCGCAGCTCCGACTTCCTGGGGGTGGGGAGAGGACAACAGGGACCCCAGGAGCAGCTCTAGGTGCTGTCCTTTAAATGTAGGTGCAAGACCAAATCGGAGGGGTGAGAAGTGTGGAGAGAGAATCCCAGGGGGAGGGAGAGGTGGCGACTGCAGGCACACGAGGGATTCTGGGGGCTGGGAGTGTTGTTTCTTTATCTGGCGGTGGTTACACGGGTGTGCTCACTCTGTGCAAGTCTATAGAGCTGAACAATTAAGAATTGCTCACTTTTCTGCAGGAATGTTCCACTTCAATAAAATTGACATTAAAATTTATACACACACGCACACACAGAGAGACCTAGAGTGCAGATTCTTAAAAGAACAGGCTGCACCCCCCCCCCCAGGCTGGAGACCCCGAAGGCTGCTAGGGTGCCCTGGGGGATACCCATTGCTCTATCCATCATCCCCTCCCCCAGAGTCGATTTCCCAGAGCTGACCTGCCCGCCTTGGTGATGATCATCTCCGTGCCCGCCTCGTGGAACTTCTTCCAGAGCTCCTTCTCATGCAGGCCCACCTTGATGTTCTCGATGGTCTAGGGAGGGGAGGGAGGGGACTTCAGAGCCCTCAGAAGGCAGAGCACAGGCCCAAGGAGCTATGCAGAAACCCTGCCCGTCCGGGACCCACGCCTCAAGATGTCGTTTCACGAAATTATTCGTACGGTTTTCACCCCCGACCCCTCGGGCTCGTCGGACTGGACACTTGGCCAGGGCTCCCTCCGCCGCCGCCGGGTTTCCCTCCCCGCGTCCCAGAGGGTCCCCGTGGGGCAGGACGGAAGGCAGAGAGCGCCTGCCGGGGAGCGCCAACCGCAGTCAGCGGGCCTCCTCGCTCTCCGACAGGCCCTTATCCTGCAGCATCTCCTGCGGGCACAGCACACACCGGTCACATGCCCAGGTCCACACTGGCCAGAGGCCCGCAGCCCTCTCGAGCTGAGCGGGGTGGGGGTGGAGGGTCTTGGACAGGGTGGGGAGGCCGCCCTGGCGCACGTGAACCCCGCCCCCTCCTGAGCTGGGGGAGGGGGGATTTGCCAGGGCAGGACCCTCGCCTCCTCCCTCTGGGTTCTGGGCCTGGGAGGGTCTGCGTGCGGTGCAAGGTCTGCCTGCCCAGGGTGTGGGGCTGTGCGGTGAGTAGGTCTGGGGGGAAGGACCGCCCTCTCGGCATTGCCCCAGCTGTACCCCCAGTCCCTCCCTCCCGCTGGGCTCCAGTGGAGCCTGCGGCCTGGGTCTTTTTCCCTGTTCCCTAATAACTGGAGTCCTGGGGCCAGGAGAGGGCAGGACGCAGGCTCCCGGGGCTCCACACCTGCAGAAAGGCTGGGCAGCCTCTCCTGCCCCTGCTCACCCCTCCGCCTCCACCCACTCTCAGACGGCAGTCAGGTAGAGCCTTCCTGAACCAAAGGCGTTTACTCCTGCACATCCCCCCTCCCACAGTCACCGTATGTCACCCACGAAGCCACATCCTCACCCCCAGACACAGCCCCCAAGCAGCCACTCTGCTCAGTGAACTCAGCCAGGAGCCTCCCAGCCTTGCCCTCACACTTTCAGCTCCAAGGGGCTCTGCTCTGGGGCCAGGGACCCAGATCCCTCCCAGCTAAGGACCAGCCTTGGGGTGGGGTCCTGCCCAGGGCACAGCTATCCTTC